TAAACCCTAAACCCTAACCCAGCCCTCCCCAGCACCAGGCCCCGATCCGATGTCTGCCCGGCAGCTGGATGAATGCCACGGGCTGCTGTGCTGCTCTTGAACCCTCATCCTTAGGGTTTAGGGCTTAGGGNNTTGGGGTTTAGGGTTGAAGTTTAGGGGCCGAGTAGGTAACCTTTAACCGTTAAGCCTTTTGGGGCTTATATAATTCTATTATGATTGATACAAAAGGTTAACTTGTCCTGGGGTTAAGGCACTCAGCCCCTAAGCAGCTGTAATTCCAGCATGCTTTGCCACAGCACGGTATAGTATAGTTAGGGTCGGATGGCATGGGATGGTACAGCATAGTTTAAGATAGGCTGGTATGGCACATAGTGTAGGCATCGCGTATGTAGTGTCGTGTAGTGTAGCGTGGTGTAGTACTTGAGACCCCATGGGTCCTAAGTACCTCTATACAGCAAATAGAATGCAGGCAGGGGTTTCCAGAATGGGAATTACGATTGTGGTTGCGGGTCCCTTTTGCAAGGGTGCCGTACTGTTTTCTGAGACGCAAAACGTGCTCCTACCCGTGTGGTACCCTCTTGGAAACCCTTATGGATCCCTTGGAGGAACCCTGAAAAGGGGACCCTAATTGAGAGGGACCGGCCCCCACGAAACAGCCCAGGCTACTTCGAGTGTGAGACGTGCCCGGAGGGAGTCTACTGCCCAAGGTGCCATGCTGAAGTTTAGGGCTTTGGGATTAAAGTTTTTGGGACAATTGAGGGTAAATTCGGTGTGATTGTAGACCCTGATTCAGAACGCCTTGGACCCCAAAAAATCGTAGAGTTCGCTCCGAGGCTCGGTTAGCCCCCAAGCAGCAGCTCTGCCACGGAGTTGGAAGATTGGAGACCATGGGCCTCAAACCCAATAAGCCTTAAATCCTAAACCCCTAAAAACCCGAAACCCAATAAAGCCTAAACCCTAAATCCTAAACCCCTATAAATCCTAAACGGCCGTCAACTCTAAAACACCCTAAACCCATTGGGGAGCTCGGGGTATCGGACGAGTAGTTGGCCTGCCGCCCTGAAACCACAGATATGCGATGATCGAGCCGGAGCACTGCGAGACGGGTTACCTTTGCGGCCTGACTTATTGGCCAGGGCTTTGGCAGGGATAGGGTTATGGACTATTTAGATACGGGGGTGAAGATGAGGGTTTAGATTCTGAGGGCTACGAAGATGGAGGGTTTTGGATGAGTGTTCTGAGGCTCTGTGAGCTCTGAAGCGATCATTCTATCGGAGCTTTGTTCGTCTTTGTTGCTTCGGGGTTTGCCTAGGGTATACAACAGGTTTAGGATTCACGGCAGCCGGGCTCTATATCACTATCGCACTTCTAAAATGCATTGATGCCGAAACTCACGGCTTGGGGTTCGAAGGCGCAGACTGGCCCCTTGAACCACAGAAAGTTTGAAAGGCTGCACCTCCGCTCTCGGCCCAGCCTTCTTCAATGGCCCAGGGTTTAGGGGTGTTGGTTTCTGTTGCCTGTGGGTGAGTGCCTAGGGCTAGGGCTTGGTGTCATAGAACTTATAGACGAGTTCCACACGTGAGTATCTCATTCATTTCTATCGAACCTCGAGAACCACCCTATGAAATCTTGAACCTAAACGTGAACCTTTACACTTAAACAGTAATGTAGGGCCTTAATAATTGGAATAGGGTTTTGGTGCCCAATATACTAAAGTTAGAATAAGGAACCCCCCAAATAGTATAGGTAATTATCAGCTTAGTTCTCCAAAACCCAACCTTTAAACTTTTTGGGTTCTTATAATTTAGTAGTAACCTGAAAGTTCAATCTTGTATTTCCCTGGCTTATTGGGAAAGTAAGTCAAGGCCCCTAAACCCTAAACCCTAAACCCTAAACCCTTCCCTATATATTGCGCCAAAGCCTGGGTGCATTTTCCTTAAAGCCAGGCTGGGGCGGGACCGGATTCGATGCGAATCTGGCCTTGTGCCCAGGAGGACCAGTGGCCTTACTAATGTTTAGGGTTTAGGGTTTAGGGTTTACGCCGAATGTAGGAGCATAAAGAATTACCAAGACAGTTTTTGGAGGGCTCCTTATTAGAAATATAGTAGAACGTGCCCCAAAGTCCTATTAAAATTACTAAGGCCCCGACACTCTAAACCCTTATAGTCCCTTAAAGGAACCCTACAAAGGACCCCCCAAACCCAATTCTAATTTTTAAGGTATCCTTTATAGTACCCCTTAAAGGAACCCTATGAAACCCTATTCTACTTGTTAAGTTAAGGTTCCTCTTTTAAGCTCCAGGTTTAGGGGATGGGGCTCAGGAGGCTCAGGGTCTTGCGATGACTGACGCAAGTTCCAGCTTTGCAAGCCCAAAGGCTTCATGTACCTTTATAGTAGTTACTTAAGCCTTAAAGGGTTTAGGGTTTAGGGTTTTAGGGTTTAGGGTTTAGGGTTTAAAAGGGGTCTCTATATAGGTACTTTAGGGCTTAAGTATCTACTATAAAGGTACATGGAGCCTTTGGGAAGTTGTTTAGGATAGTCTAAGGGGCCTTCATAAGTAGAATAGGGTTTCATAGGGTTCCTTGAAAGGGTCCTATAAAGGATACTATAAGGGTTTAGGGTTTAGGAGCCTTCATAATTAGAATAGGGTTTTGGGGCCCACTATACTATAAGTATAATAAGGAACCCCCAAAAATCATGTTGGTATTTATTTAGGTCCTTACATTTTGGTGTTTTCACCGTCCACATGAACCGACGAATGACAGCGTCTCCGATTGAGCTTCGTGGAGGGCAGAGACTAAGGGCCACCACCCAGGCCATGCGCTTCAGAGATTTCGCTTCTTAGAGTTTACGGGCAAACGGTCGAAGGGGTTAACCTAAAGCCTAAACCCTAAACCCCTAAACCCTAAACCCCTAAACCCTAACCCCTAAACACTAAACCCTAAACCCTAAACCTAAGTAGGAGGCAAAAAACCCTAAACCCCTAACCCCTAAGGCAAAAAATCCCTCTCTCAGCATGAACACCAATCCGGTGGAGCCATGGAAGTCTCGTAGCATGTCGAAAGTACTAGAGCCTCGTGGTCGCTATGGCTCAGAGTTAGGTTCAGGGTTCCGGGTTTGAGGTTGAAAGGGTTTAGGGCTTAAGTTTAGGGCTCAGAGTTGAGTTTAGGGCTTAGGGCTTAAGTTTAGGGTTTAGAGCTTAAGTTTAGGGTTCAGGGTTTAGGTTTAGGGCTCAGGGATTGAAGGGTTTAGGGATCAGAATTGCCAGAGAATCCGCGCCGAACGAGTTTTTAGAAGCCATCGCCACCCACATCCGGAACCCTAAACAATAAACCCTAAGCCCTAAACCCTCCGGAAAATATGTGGGGAAGGACAGCTCTGCGTCCGGCCACCCTATGGAAAGACGCCCTCATCCAGTACCTCGCGGTTCCCCTTCCTGCGGCGTCTGAAGGCTGCGGCGGGTCTAGGGGTTTAGGGTTGTAGCATTTGCAAACAGTAGTTGATGCATCCCGACAAAATATTTTTTATGACAGTTGATCTGAAATATCAACTTTTGTCTTATCACACGCGGTTTCAATATGATTACGACCTGAGCTCTGAACGGCTGGTGCAACCACGGAAGCGTTCGGCGCAGGCCAAGACTTCCGAGACCGAGACGGATGCTTCAGCAGCAGAGGCCATCTGGGGCTTAAGGGTCTATAGAGTTTAGGGTTTATAGGGTTTAGAGTTAGGGTTCAGAGTTTAGAAGTTAGGGGTTATAGGGTTTAGAGTTTAGGGTTTAGGGGGTTTAGAGTTTAGGGTTTATAGGGTTTAGAGTTTAGGGTTTAGGGTTTACAAGTTAGAGGTTATAGGGTTTAGAGTTTAGGGTTTATAGGGTTTAGAGTTTAGGGTTTATAGGGTTTAGAGTTCAGGGTATAGGGTTGAGGGAATCTGGGGGGGAAGGGCTGATAAGGGTGTCAGGCCGGGTTGTAGAGTTCAGGGCCAGGGTACTTGGAGTCTTGAAATTAGCCTTGCTGGGGCTTTGAGGGTTTAGGTTTTAGGGTTTTGAAATTAGCCTTGCTGGGGCTTTTAGGGGTTTTAGAAGTTAATTTGTCCCCATCCATGAGCAAAGAAAGCCGTGCTCATGTGTGAGGAAGGCAGGGAAAGATGGGCTTAGGCTTTGGAGCCCCTGGATCTAGAATTTAGCATTTTATACTCTCGGCCCATTCTGTTATAATTATAATGAGGAACCCTTAAAATAGTGTAGGTAATCATTAAGGCCCTAGTGACTTGTGGATGCTATAGTCACGAGCGTGCGTTCGCGAAACGCACGAAACCGGTCAAACTTGGAACCAGAGCTTCTTGATCGCAGAAGCAGACGTCTAAACCGGCTCAGAAGCAATGAGTTGCTGTTGACATTCCAGTTCCAAGAGCAGAAACGTCTTTAAAACTGACAGGTCCAGTATCGTCCAGCGCTGTTCCGGGTTTCTCCACATCAGAGCACGGCAGTTCAGCGACTAGGGCTTATACCTATAGTCTCCATTGTAGCTTATAAAATCCTTAATATATAATTGGTTAAACCAAAAAAAGGAACTACAATGGAGACCATAGGTAGGGCTTATAGGATTCAAGGGGGACTTTCAGCGCCTTCACCCCCAAGTGCACTCCACATCCTGAAGCCGCAGTGCGAGCGCAAACCCTCAGCCCAAACCCTCAACCTTTACACAAAGAAAACTCACAAACAACCCTACATGTTCTCAACCCTAAGCCTGGAATGAATCAGGAGACGCCACAGCCACAGCAGTTGACATCCACATCGGCACCTTCCCGGCGACTGCTCCTGGCCACCATTCCCTCAACGGTGGAGATCCAAACTTGCCCCGCAGGTGCTGAGCTTGGGACTGCCAGGATGAGGAACCTAGCGCATACATGCATGGGATAGGGGTTAAAAAAAATTAAA